ATTTGGGCTACTTACAAGTTTTAGCTATCACAAACTGTGCCGCTATGAACATGGGTGCACATATATCACTGTGGTATGATTCTTTTAATTCTTTGGGGAAGACACCCAGCAGGGGAATAGCTGGGTCAAATGGGACTTCCAGTCCTAGTTCTTTGAGGTATTTGAGTTGACTTTTGCACATGGGGTTCAATTTCATTCTTCTGCATGTGGATATCCAGTTTTCCCAACATTATCTATTGGAGAGACTGCCTTTTCCTTGTGTTCTTGGTACTTTTTATATTTTTGAAAATAAATTGACTACATGTGCATGGATTTATTTTTGGACCCTTTATTTTTAGTTTCACAGGTCTAAAGCTATGTTTTTATGCTAGTGTGGTGATGTTCTGATTACTATAGCTTTGCAGTAGATTTTAAGATCAGGTAAAGTGACTATCTTCAACTTTGGTTTTTTCTCTCACTACTCACAATCTTTTGTGGCCCCCTGTAGATGAACATGTGATATCTGCATTTGTAATGTCTTAACTTTCATTTTTGATTCTCCCTCTCTCTCTCTCTGCCTAGCCAAGCTTTGTCAATTTTGTTTATCTTCCTAAACAATCAAATTTTAGTTTTGTTGATCTTTTAAATTGTTTTCCTTGTCTATATTTTTGGGCTCAGTTCAATCTTTTTAAAAAATAGTTTCTTGAGGTTTATGACAGATTGTTTTATTTGAGACCTTTCTTCTTCTTTAAAGTGGTTATTTATCACCTTCTCTTTTACAACTATTATATCCCATACATCTCGTTATGTTGTTTTTCCATCTCCATTTGTCTCAAGATTTAAAAAAAAAATTGGTTCTTTGGCCCACTGGTTGTTTGGGTACATGTTATTTAACTTTCATATATTTGTGAAATTTCCAAAGTTTCTCCTGTTATTAATTTCTAGTTTCAGACCATTGTGGTTAGAAAAAATACTTAATATGATTTCAGTCTTCTTAAATTTGTTAAGAACTTGTTTTGTGGCTTAACATATGATCTACAGTAGAGAATGTGCTTTTTTTGCTTGAGAAGAATGTGTATTCTAGCTTGTTGTTAATGCTGTATGGAAGCATGTTAGGTCCATTGGGCCTAAATTATAGTCTAAGCCAGATGTTTCATTATTTTTATTATTATTATTATTATTATTATTTTTGGTACCGGGGATCGAACTTGGGTCCCTCCGCTTGCGAGGCAGGTGGTGGAACCACTGAGCTAAATCCCTGGCCCACCAATGTTTCCTTATTGATTTTCTGTTGAAGTGGAGCACTGATGTTTCCTATTATTACTGCATTGCTGTCCACCTTCCCCTTCAGGTCTATTAATATTTGCTGTATATATTTAGAAGTTCTGGATGCATGCATATTTGCAATCATTATATCCTCTTGATAAACTGCTATATCATTTCATTTATAAGGGGATAATGACCTTTTTGTTTCATTTTATAATTGTTTACTTAAAAAGTCCGTCTCACCTGATAGAAGTATACCTTCCCTTATTCTTTTTTGGTCCCATTTGTATGGACTATGGGATGTCTTTTCCATTCCTTCAATTTCAGGCTCTGTGTATCCTCAAAGCTGAAGTGATTCTCCTACAGACAGCTTGTGGTTTTTAGATCCACTCAGCCACTCTGTATCTTTTGATTGGAGAATTTAATCAATTTACAGATCATTAGTGAAGGTAAGGACTCTTAGGGCACTTCGTTAGTCGTTTTCTAGTTGTCTTGTAGATCCTTTGTACCTTTCTTCCTCTCGTGTTATCTTACTTTGTAATTAGATAGTTTGCTTTAGTGATATGCTTTGATTCTTTTTCCTTTATCTTTCGTGTATCTACTATAGGTTTTTGGCTATTAGGTTTTACTATTATCAGCTTAAATTTGATCACATACAAAAATTCCAACCTTTACTATCTCTCCACTTTATGTTTTTAATGGTGATGTTTATATCTTTTTAATATTGTCCATCCCTTAACAAATTATTGTAGTTATAGTGACTTTTCAGTAGTTTTGTCTTTTAAACTTCATATTATATAAGTGATTTACATGTCATTATTATGCTATTATTCTGAATTTAACTATATATATCTTCAGTGAGTTTTTTCAATTTTTATTTTTATTAGCATTGTTTGCAGTACATAATGGTTACACTCTGCATGGGGACTGGTATACATACCTAACACATCTTCATTCCTTTTTCATTCCCTTCTCCCTGTCCATCTCGTGCTTCCCTTCTGTGAGTTCTTTTTAAAACTTTCATATCTGTCCTGTCACTAGTGAGCCTCCTTGCCCTTTTTTTTTTTTTTAACTTGAAGAATTTCCTTTAGCATTTCTTGTAAGGCAGGCCTAGTGATGATCATCTCCCCAGTTTTGTTTGTCTAAGAATGCATTTTTCTTTCATTTCTGAACTACAGCTTTTTGATGGGTATAGTCTTAATGTTTGGCAGCTTGTTTTTCTGAACACTTTGACTATCTCCTTCCCTTCTCTCCTGGTTTCTCTTGAGATGTTTGGTGATAGTGTTATAGAGCCTCTCTTGTATGTGATATGTCTTTTGTCTCTTGCTACTTTCAAGATTGTCTCCTCAATTTTTGCCTTTTGACAACTTATTATAGTGTGCTTTGGAGTATTCTTCTTTGGGTTGATCTTTCTTAGGGTCCTTTGAGTTATATGAATCTGTACATCCATGTTCTTCCCAAGAGTTTGGAAGCTTTAGATAATATTTCTTTAAATAAGCTTTCTACCCATTTCTTTTTCTCCCTTCTTCTGAATTTCCCATAATTTGTAGATTTGTATGCTGAGTGCTATTCTATAGGTCTCTTTATCCTTTCTTCACTTTTCCATTCTCTTTTATTTTTGTTTCTCTAGTTGACTAACTTCACACTTGTACTAGGAAACAGGTAAGAAATATTTATAGAGTATTGTTCATAGCAGTCCCAAGTTAGAAAGAGTTCCATGGTAGAATGCATAATTTGTGTCAAATATTTTAAAAGCATTGCCAGGTTATTGGGTGTGTAATGTTACTTCACGTGGCTTAAATTTCTGTTTTTAAAATAATTACTGTGATTGAGCATATCTTAGAAATTTAAATTGACAATATGGAATTTCTCTCCGCATATTGAAGAAATTATTCTATTGTCTTCTGGCTCTTGTTGAAAAATTGCTATGCTTTCTCACTATCAGTAATCTGGAAGGAATCATTTCTTCCTTACATGGTTGATTTTTAAGGTCTTCCTCCTTTTGCATTATGAATTTACTATGATTTTTATATATGTACATTGCCTTTGATTTTGTCTTTAGTTTCACAATTGGCAGTTCACAATTAAAGATGTCCAGTAAAAGTTCTGAGATTTGTCAAATATTAGTAACCACTTTTTCTTTTTACTTTTTTATAAATACCACTGACTTTTTGGAAGCAGGGAAGAACACATAAGCTTTATAGTTTTTGTTTTAAGACATATGGTCAGTCATTAAAATCATGCATTTGGGAGTAATAGTTCATGCTGGTATTAACTATAAATCTGTCTTATATAGGTAGACAAGTTTATCTGTTTAAGGAGGAAAAAGTGAACTCATAGAAATGGAAGTTAGATTGGACTTGGAAAAAAAAAGGAATTCTGTTGTGAACAAGCAGGAATGGCTAGCACTGACAGTCACAAGAGAAAGAGGGCCCAGTGCTGTGTTTGCAAGATGGTCAGTAAGCCAGGTGTCCTGCGAGGGCTGAGGATGAGCTCTGGCCCTCCAACTTTGAGGAGATTGATCCTCTACCTGACCTCATAGTTGGTATGAGAGAGAGAGTACTGAAACATAATAAGGGAAATTGTAGCCAGAGGGATGGGGACATCCAGTGACCAGGACTTAATATTGGGGTGTTGTAGTCAGGTCTTGCAAAGGAATAGACTAATGCAGGACACATAATTTATAGGATTATTTTACAATATTCACTCAAAAAAGTCAAATGTAGAGGAGTGCAAGAGATCGGTCTGAGCACTAGAGACCAGAAGAATCCAGCTGAGGGCCTGGACCTCATGGCAATGTTCCAGCCAGGGGCCTAAAGCCCACGGCAATGTCCCACGCAAGTCCGCATCAAGGATCCACACCTGGAAGGCCCAAGGACCAGTGGTGGAAGCTAGAAAGCCTGCGCTGGCCTGGTGAAGGCTCTGTGCCACCAGGCTGAGGGACTGGACCTAGGAAGTGACAGTCAAGGGGAAGACCAGAGCTCCCTTGACAAGACCATCAGCCATCCCTGGTGACAATGAGGACCTGAGCCCTTCCAACAGTGAGAGCAGCCAAGTTCGTATCAGGACAACCAGCCATAGTAAGCTTCTCCAGGAAAATGAATAGCATGTGATCTTCCCCTCCAGTTCTCCTTTTATCCCATTGGCAACAATCCTCAGGTGGGTCTTCCATGCCCAGAACCATGCTGACTCAGTTCAGCTGGTCATTCCAAGTTGACCATTAGTTAAACGACTGGATGGGGCAAAGAAGAGAAGTTCTGGGAGAGGAGCTGGGGTGGGTAACTAAAGAAGAAAAGAACCAGGCAGAGTGTAGGGCAACCACACTAGAAGCCATGCTCCTGGCACTGTGACCAATGGTTATGCACACAAGAATGCGCCTCTCTGTAATCTTTCTTCGGCGGCAATGGGGTCTTAGTTAGAAAACAGAATGTGTGCTGGTGAAATTCCTACAGCAATTGAGTTACGTGCAGTGGGACTCTGGTTACCATATGGGAGAAGAGACCTGGATTTGATGCTAAGCTCCACCATATATCAGCTGTGTAGACACAGTGAAATTCCTTAATTGCTCTCAATATCTGTTTCCTCCTTTGTAAAGGTAAAATACCTAACTCATAAACTTTTATCAAGATGAAATGAACGCACATATGTAAAATCAGTTAAGCTTACTCAATAAATGAGCAAAGAGGACCAAAAAATCATTGGTCTTATCACCGTAGCTCTGCAATCGAAGCATATCTAACCTGACTCACTCCAGCTCCTTACCATTGAGATCACGGCCTTGATCATCATGGTTGGGGCCATTCATCACCAGAAGGCCCTGCAAAGGCAGCTTGTGGCTGTCTCCATCTTAGAAACTGTCTTCAGGTGGAGGGTAGCTACCTTACACGGGAGCTGGGAGAGGCATCCTCAGTGTACACCTTGACCCGAAGCACTTCAGCATTAACGGGCCATTTTGAATTCCACACTGTCTGTCCACCAGTTTTTTAGAACCCTTTAGTGATACCCTATCATGAAAGTTTGGAATCTTATTCAACCCCAAGTGACACAACCACTTTAGCTCAGCACTTTGCTGCTGTCCAGCTCCAGCCACACTTCCCAAAATAATTGGCCCCAAGTCATTGTGTGCCGGTGGACAGGAACAAGGTTGAGAACTCGGCTCCATGGTAGGAGACGAGAGGTGTATGTGTTACCAAATGGAAAAGCACCCACCCAGGTTCAGAGCTAACGAACTAACACTTGCTGATCGGTCACCTTCAAGGGCAAAATATCCTGAAGATTAAATGGGTAGAATCTCCCTTCACAGCCATAGAAGCCCAAACCTAATGAGGTCAGCTCATTTACATAGTTAATCAGGGACAGATCTGAAAGCAGAGATTAGGGCTAGTGATCTTTCCGATTTATCCTGCTACTAATTGAGGTAAATGTGACCGTGAAGCGAAGCACATTATTTTATTAGCATGTCCTTAGTATGGTCTACAGTAAGCTCAACTGTGGAAATTGAAAAAAGACACAAATGTATAGACAAAAATCCTTGCGGCAGAAGAATTTGTAATGAGATGGCAAAAGACCCCTGAAAATAAGACAAAACTAGGGATAGAGCAAGATTTTTTCTTCTTTTGAAAAGAATTACATGGAAAAGAATGAGGAAGAAAAAGAAACCAAATTTTAGGACAATTCTAAGGAGTAATTTTGGGGTTATTTGACCAGTGGGATTTTGCAAAGGCAGTTGTTTGTTTGTTTGTTAGTAAATCACTCTCCCTCCTTAGGGTGCTTTAGCGGGAACCCGCTGCTCCATGGTGATGTTGCTTATTTTAGAGGATTTTTCTTCCACCGAGTGGACTCTCAGGGAGAGGACATTGCCAAGCTGGTCCAGTTCTTCCACCATTGCTTTGACAAAGATTTCTTCTGTTAAGTCTAAAATAAAATAAAGAAAGGCTCAGTGATGGTCTTGACAGTTTGCAAGGGATTCAGGCATGACAGGTATGGCTTTTAAAATCGATTTTTGTAAGTTCATAGACAATCAATCTGTAACCCAGTATTTGAAGCCAGTGTTTAACAAGACCTGGATCTATCTTTCTTACATTTACTGCTGATTTTTAGACCTGGGTGCTTGAAAGCCTACAGGAAAGACGGGTTAAAATAACCTGTGTCGAGCTAGGATGGGCCTGGAACAGGCAGGACCTTTTCAAAAACACTAACTCATCCTACTTTTGTGCTTTAAAATAAAATACTTCTTATCAAGCACTGAAACTGTGAAAAAGAATATGTTTTGGGTAAGAAAATTATTGGGGGATTGAGTCCTCATTTCAGTAATTTCATAATTGGATATATCTGTTCAACAGAGACTTAAAATGCAAATATTAAGCATTGTTGGGGCTGGAGGTTTAGCTCAGTGGCACCAGCTCCTGCCTGGCAAATGCAAGGTCCTGAGTTTGATCCCCGGTTCCAGAAAAAAGAAAAAAAAAAAAAAAAGAATTGTTATCATGATCCCTCATCTCTCTGTTCTCTAGAGGTAAACTCAGCAACAAATCTTACTTAGCTAGAAAATTAGTGCTTATCAAATATAAACCCTTCTGTACCTTTGACTTGATTTCCAGAATTTACAAGCCTGGGTCCTTTAGACTTGTAACATGTGGATCTGCTTCTACTGTGAAGAAAAGGGTAAATCATTGCAGTTTTTCTTTCAATAAAGAGCTCATAACAAGGAATTGGGAATGAAATTTTCAGAGTTCTAATTTCAATACAATTTAAACTGCCATTATGTTTAAGGGATATCAGTAAGCTTTCTGTGACTTCAACATAGTGAAATAAGAGATTAAATGGGTATTTATAATCAGAAATTTCCTTAGGACCTAATTCTACCTCTTTCACCTAACGATGTGGGGCCTCCAAGTTCTTTCTTAGGGTGACTTTTCATTCAAGTGGCCAATGAACGCCTTGAACACTGTGCTGAGCTGGGCTAGGTGTTCTAGAAAAGGAGAGCTAAGGAACACAAGAGGTTTACATTGTTGGAAATAAAACAGATTCATGCAAAAAATTATCTCTAACATAGAGTGAAAAGTGCTGTCGATTAGGTGGAGAATGGATGGTGTAATAAAAACAGAGAAGGGTGCCATCGCTGTTGGGGTCTTAGGGAATTGGCTGCAGAGAACTGCCTCTGGGCTCAGAGGGCCAGAAGGTGGCATGACCCCAGGCAAGCACTCAGTAATAGCCACTGGTCACTGAATACCTTGTAAAACAGCCACGAGCCCTTACTTTACACACGTAGGGAGGCACGATGGCCAAGACCAGTTACGAGTGTGGTTTGGGTGTTGTCACAGTTTTATCAATGAGGAAATTATGGTCCAAAGAGGCTAACCCACGGGCTCAAATTCAACCAGGACGAAATGCACACGCAGGACTACAATTCTAGGGCTTTTAAAAATTTTTGCTCTCAAGTAGCAAATTATGTTGCTTCTTCAATTGAATCTTCTGAGTCATCATTGCTCAACTTTAATAGAAGGTCCATGCAGGGTAACGCGAAGTGACACAACACTGGCATATATATAATTTTTTCACAAGTTAATACTTACCCTTCTTCCCCATCTAGTAAGTTGCAATATGTTTCAATTTCTTTTTCCAAAAGCATTTTGATATCAAGGAGCTGTTCATACTCCAGCTTCTGGCCTTCCGTTTCTGTTCGAATCTGTTGCAATTGTTCCTCCATCGTCCCGATGTGATCCTGGATTTGCTGGAGTTGAATGCAGTAATTTCCTTCAGTCTCAGCCAATGTATGTTCATAGGATTGTTTCTGAAAGAAGGACCAAGTGAAGTCCTCAGTGTGTAAAAGAGAATGGCATGCTCATATTGCAAATATTCCCAAGGTGGACAAATACTTACATCATCTAAGTATTTTCAACTGAAAATCAAAACCGGCAAGATTTAAAAAATAAATTTCCTCTTAGCTGGGCATGGTGGTGCACACCTCTAACTCCAGCTATTTGGGAGGCTGAAGCAGGAGGATCACATTCGAGGCCAGCTTGGGCAACTTAGAGAGAGCTTGTCTCTGTATAAAATTTAAAAAAGGGCTGTGGGTGTAGCTAAGTGGGGAGTGTTTGCCTAGCACATGTGAGGCCCTGGGTTCAATCTCCACTTCCCCAGTACCACACCACACACACACACACACACACACAAATTATTTCTTCTGCCCTGAAAAAATTGTCAAATTTTGGGATTGATGCATCAGAAGTAACATTTATGGGTGGAGCTATTAGTATTTAATATACTGTATATTTTTAGTTATTCATACTGTATTTACTGTTATGGATACAATTTTAACATTCGTGTTTATGTGGCTAAACACACATTGCTGTATTTCAGATATGGTTGAGTGTGTCCCATCCCCCAAGGGTCTGTGCGCTGGAAGCAGGTGTGGTGATGTAAGAGGTGCTGGGACCTTTTAAGAGGGGCCATCATCAGAGCTGTTGCCATGTTCCTTAGGCTTTCAGCCTCCAAAGCTGTGAGCTGAAATAAAGCTCCTTCCAGGATAAAGTACCAAGCCCCAAGTGTTTTGTTAGAGTATCAGAAAGCAGACTAGTGTCACATACACACACATCCGATTCCATGGAAATCGCTACATACCATAGCGAGGAGGGACTGGAGTTCTATTTCCAGGATTTGCAGACTGCGTTTCTGTTCCATCAGCTGATTTCTAGCTGCTGTGGCTGCACCTGCCTCATCCAAAATCTGTTGCTGCAGAGACGCACTCTGGAACGGAATTGTCCGCAGGTCAGGGACCAGTGCAGTCATCCCATGCACAAGGCCTTCATGTGAGTCGCCGCGGATGTACCTTCTCATGGAAGCAGGCCTCCGCGTCCTGGCGGTTCTGCTCAGCCAGGTCCTCATACTCGGCCCGCATGTTGTTCAGCAGAGCAGTGAGGTCCACGCCGGGGGCTGCGTTCACCTCCACATTCACGTTCCCTCCTGCTGCACATTGCAGAGCTTTGGTTTCCTGGGAAAGGGCCAGGGTGCATCCTCAAGGGAGGCTTCCAATGGGTACGAGTGGACCAGGAGAAGGGGCTCAGACCTGGGCTCGGCTTCCTTACCTCCTCGTGGTTCTTCTGGAGGTAGGTCAGCTCCTCCCCGAGGCTGCCACACTGCACCTCCAGGTCGGTGATAGAGAGGGTCAGCTCCTCCAGCACCCTGCGAAGATTGCTGATGTCGGCTTCCATGATCTGGTGCAAACTGAGCTCGTTTTCATACCTGAAAGATCATTAAGATGCATGAGAGCTATAATCAGAGGCAGTGCCGGAGAGATGTGATGTGCTGCTCACATTTCTGAAGCTTCTTGCAGTGGCAAACTGTTAAAATAGTTTGTGATAGCTACTGATCTGGGAGTATCATTTGGAGGTCTAATTTCTTCAGAGCCAGTTTGTCATTTGAAGCGCTTAGCAGTTGAACAAAATATCACTGGATTTTAAAAATTCATGGTAGCTCTTTAGGAGGGCCTATTTAATTTGATTTCTTTATCTGGTGTGGCATCATGAAAACACTGGTTTTAAAAGCAAAAGAGGGGCAGGGAGAAGAGCAAAAGACATGTTCTTCAATTCACCTTAGTGTTTTTCCCCCCGTTAATTAATGAGTTATTTGCACCTACTTCAGCTTGAAGTCATCAGCAGTCAGCCTGGCATTGTCGCTTTGGAGAACAATGCTGGCATTACAGGCGGTCACGGAAATAATCTAAGCAGGGGAGAATGTGCAACACAGTCAGGGTCAGTGGTCCAAGGACCCTCCTGATTTCGGTGAGATTCTGTGTCTTCTTATCGTCTACATTGGCATTAACATTACTTTTACACATTAATCTGGATTTTCTTCATATAATAAATGTTCAGCAATTAGGGGCCATATGGATAATCTGATTTCTTTTGATCAAAAGGTATGAGTTAAATATAAAAACAATGTGATTACATGTCTTTTGAAACTATTTCTCTTCCCTTATTTAATTTTACAAATCTGTATTGCCAGGCACTGCTCTTAGGACAGGGAGGAGAGTGAACAAATTCTAAACCCCATACATTTTTAAAGTCCATTTTCTTTTTCTCTGCTTTAAGTTATGCCCACTGGAAGTCTGTGGCTAAAGGATGCAGGTCTGGATTTCTCACCTGTTTTTTCAGATCCTCAATGGCCGAGAAGTATCTGGTGTAGTCGTGACTGAGCCCTGGGAACCGCTCAGGCCCGTACCTGTCATACCAGCTGGCGATCTTCTGCTCCATCTCTGCGTTGGCCTCCTCTAGCGCATGCACATGAACCAGGTAGGAGGCCAGGCGGTCATTGAGGTTCTGCATGGTCACTTTCTCATTGCCGGACAGCAGGCCCTGATCATTTCCGAGAAAACCAGTGCAGATGCTGCTTCCAGACCCTCCACCCCCATGGCAGGAGCTTCCTCCAGAAGAAACGCCCCCAAGTGTGCAAGCAAAGCTTTCTGCTCCTGAGGTGATGCACGTGCCCACAGCCCTGAAGCCAGAGCCTACCCTGGACAGCCGGGTGGGGCTGGCTTTCGAGCAGATCCGCCTGGACCCATTGGAAAGTCGGCAGGACATAGCCACAGCACAGCCCAGCACCCTTCCCGAGAGCAGCAGAGCCGTCACCTTCCGCAGAGGCAGGAGCACAGCCTTTTATAGGGCTTCGTTGTCATTTCAGTCTCTCCTATGCCAATCTGTAATAAAACACCACTTGGCGCATCTTAATTGCTGTTTTTCACAATTAGCAGGCTTTTTTTTTTTTAAATAGTTTCCAGTAGGTGGCATGGTGCCTCAAGGGTGCTTTTTATACCTGAAAAAGGTGCCAGGCAGAGTAATACTGAATCATAGCCTCCAAGGGTTAGTAATTCTGAATCATAGCCTCACCGATGATAGAAAAGAAATCAGAATTTCTTTTACAGAAAGACGTCAAGGTACATCCTTTTCACCTCTGGAATAGGGCCTAGTCCTCCGTCCTATATGACAAAGAATTAACAATTCAGATGAGAAATGTTCTGTCCCACAAATGCATGTAGAATACTCTAAAACTTTGGTTTGTGAGCATAATTCGTTCTGGAAACATGCTTGTAATCCAAAGCACTTGCATATCAAAGCGAATTTCCCTGTAAGAAATAATGGAAATACAGATGATTCATTCCACAACTCAAAAATATTCATAGAAAATAATTATAATACTGTAATATAATATAAAATAATAAAGAAAATGCAAAATATAAAGGAAATAAATTAACCTGCACTTTGGAAACCTTCGTGGCTGGTGTGGTGGAGGCAAGAGAGGAGGGTATTGTGCAGGATGGCCTTCACTGTCACTAATGGACTCACTGCTGTCTATTGGCTCAATGGAATCGTTTTCTTTTTGTGGAACTTTAACAAGGAACAACAATTGTTTTTGCTTCCTTTTGAGGATTTTGTGGAAATGTGATGTTGGGTTGTCATTAAACAGATTCATCGCTTGCTCTGCTGTAGCCTTATTCGGGTTGTACTTTTCTACACAATTTTACACTGTTTTCCACATTCTACACATCTCCCTAATCTCATTTGAAGTGAGGGATTCCTCGAGAACCTCTTGCTGTTGGGAGCCAATTACCCACAGTGTGAGAGAGAGAGCCAGCCAGCCATTGGCTCAGTTGGGATCATGTGACATTCAGCGTCACACACTACTCATATTGCAAGACGTCATTCATTTATCAAATTGAAATTTATTGGAAATGTTTGCTAATCTGGCAGAACATTCGCAGAACAAGTTTCTCACCATCGGTTTTCCTGTATCTCCGTTATCCCCGCTTTGTTGCGTTTTCTTTCATATGGAAACCAGAGACTCTGGATACCTAGTGCTTTTTGATGGGGGGAGTTTTTAATTGGTTTTCTAAAAAAAAAAAAAAATGAAAAAATGAAAAATAATAGAAGTCCTGCCATCGTTTTATTATCAATCTCACTGAACCTCATAAATCTGTGGTATCCATGGAGAATTATTTTTACTGGCATTTCTTGGTTTGGTCCAGGAGTAGAATATCAATTCATGAACTTTTGAGTCTCCAAAATGTTTGCTTTACTGTGCTTTAGTTCAAAGGTAGGTATTTAAAGTCTTATGAACTGTTTTGAGATGTGGTCTTCGTACTGATGGGGGATGAAGTGTCTGAGGAGATGGGTGTGGAGCCATCACTGAGGGGTCTCCATAGAAGACTAGTTGTCAAAGGAAGCAGACTCTTTCTTCTCTTGTCTTGATGCCCGGGGCAGTTAGCCAGTCTTGTGCTTCATTTCCCTGCTAGGCAAATGAAAATAACAGCACTGGACTGTCCCAAATAAGTGTTCACCAGACCCAGTAATGAATGACTATAAGAAGACCATCTGAGGGGCACAGACATATTGCAAGTGTCAATTATTTATATTATTATAATAAAGTGGCCTTGTCAGACAGGGCTAGGCAGCAGTGCTACAAATTGATTGGCGGACTGATTACACATTTAGTTTTAAAATAGTAATTTTTTTTTCCCTGAAGAAGATTGGATATGGTGAGATTGAATACTTTGAAAAAGAGCTAATGTTATTGTCATGGAAACATATCGAACTTCTCATGGAGTGGAACTTTAAAAATCCATTATATGAATTTTAAAAATCCATATATTTATAAATAATCTTAAAAATATTTAAAAACCCACATATATTTAAAAATAATATATTAATTCATATTCTCATGTTTAGAACAGTGCTTGCTAAGTTAAGAAATATAGTTTATAAGGAATATAATTTATATTCAGAGACTCATTACTGATTTTGTTGCAGCCTGGTCAAATTTTAATCTTTTGCCCATGTTTCCCATGAATAAAATAAGGGAAACAGAATATGTAGTGAGCATAATCATTTATAAAGCTTGAGTTTCTTAGATAAGAAGTATTATGTGACAGCAAAGTATTATTAACATAATCTGTTGAGCTCCAGATAGTTTGTAAATACTAATTAACTTATCAGGTTTTGTGAAATAAGTTAAGCATATATTATTAGGGCTGCTTTGGAGATGAGTCTGCCCTGGCACTAAAGTGCCAACATAGATTGCAGACTACTTGTCTATCAAAGTGGGCCAGGAAGGTAGGGTGCTCAACCCCTCTTGAAATGTCCTTGCCGTTTACTCATGGGGCAAGTATCTGGAATTCTCTGAATTAGAGATTTCTAAATTAATACTCTAAAAGTTTGGGTAGGGTTTAGTCCTTTCTGGAAGTAGAGGATAGAGTTAATGAATTTCTCAGGCCAGTTCTATCTATGTATTTGTTCCGTGAGAGTGGTTATTTTGTATCCTGCAGCGTATCATTTACCACTTCTTGAGAATCTACTGGGTATTATGTAATAGGTATACCATGGGTATTCGAAGGGTTTGAATTGAGTTAAACCTTGAAGTTATGCTGGGTTAATGTCTCCTTCTTTCATCTTACTCTCATGATCATATGTTATTTTCTCCTCTCATTAATATTCCCCACCAGCTATACTGAGCTATTTGCATTCATTCCAATGGATGAACCTACATTGATTGATGCATCATAGCTATCCAAAGTCCATGGTTTACATTGGTTTTCATTCTTGGTGTTGTACATTCTATGGGTTTGGACAATCTATAATGATACGTGTCTACTCTTCTGGCCTCGTAGAGCATTTTCATTTTCCTCAATGTCCTCTTGTTCTGCCTATTTATAGTCCCTCCCCTAACCAAACATGGTCTTGTGTCTCCATAGTTTTTCCCTCTGCAGAATGTCATATAGTTGGAGTAATACAGCACATAACCTTTTCAGACTATCTTCTTTCACTTAGTGACACACATTTATGTTTCCTCTACATCTCATCCTGGCTTGACAGCTCATTTTAGTATTGAATGATCCCCCATTGCCTGAGTCTACCACAGTTTCTGTATTCACTCATCTACTGATGGTCATCTTGGTTGCTTCCAGATTTTGGCAGATAATAAATGAAGCTATCATCAATATCTGTGTGCAGGGTTTTGTGCAGATACCCATTTTCAGCTCCTTTGGATAAAAGGATAAGAGCCTAGAAGATGCTGGATCATATCGTAAAGCATATGTTTAGTCTTGGAAGAAAATTCCAACCTGTCCTCCAAATAAGCCATAGTCTAAGTACTTCTGACTATAGAACCATGTGGTTGGATGTTTTCTCCTGATTTTGACATAAAAGTATGGGATGTGAGGGCCAGTGAACTAGAAACTTAGGTGAAAAGGGTATTTGCTTTGGAGTCACCCAAGTATTTAAATGCTTGTAGGGAAGGGTGGAGGGAAGACAGTTAGAAAGCTTCCATCTGACATGAGCCAGCTCTGCATAGCTCAGTGTAGGTACTGGTTCTGGAGGAAATGGGCTGCACCCGCACCAGAAACAGCTTGTTTTTGAGGGAACCATGTTCTCTCCTCAAAAAAGCTGAGTCTACACCTTCTCTTACCACCAAGAAGTCTTGAACTGCTGGTTAGAGAAATAGATTCATTGATGTTAAGCACTAAATATTTCACTCAAAGTGTGTTTGACTTCAGAGACACATTGCTTTGCAGGCTTGGGTGGGAAGAGCTGACCGAGTACCAGGACTGCCCACCCTCACAGCGGAGTGACTGAAATGACAACTCAGATGCCCTCTGGGATTCTCCACTTACCTCAGTACCCATAGTTTTCTCTTTCCCCTTATACCCTCAGAAAATATCACCATCTATATCACTTCCTTTTAGTACATGTGCTGCCAAAGCGGGCACAATAGCATTTCCTTTATGGTTAGGATGTTTTTGAAAATTGTGTATTTCCAATTCCTTAAGCATGTTGAGCTCAGGGATCTGTTTTGGACAGGGCCTAAGTCACTAAGTGGGCTGGGCTCACGCTTGTAATCTTCTTGGCCCTGTCTCCAAAGGTGCTGGGATTACAGGCATGTGCCACCACCCCTAGCTAGGGATTGGATCTTATTAGCTGCTTTATTCTCATCATCTGGTGCTTACCGTGGGCTCAGTAAGTACTGAAGGTTGGAAGGAAGACAACATTTTACAGAAGCGTGAAGATTCCACCTTGTTTATGTGTTAAATTCATTCCTGACTTTTGAAGACCACCAAGTTAAACAGAAGAAATCGAAAGGCAAACCCAGCCCCCATGGGAGGGCATATTTAAAATGCAAAGAGGGATCAGAGCCCCGCAGGATAATTTGCAACAGGAAGAACTTTTATTGAAACATCACCTTAGAGAAAGCCAAGGAAACATTACTACTCTACAAAGAACTTGTCATAGTTCATTAGAAGAAAAGCAGAAAAATAAGAGGGCCCTTAATTAGGACATCAGCTGAATTCGGTGCCTTAATTTAGGGGACATCTTTTTGGGGTGGGGTGTGGTTCAGGAAGGCACTCTCTGTTCGCTTGTGTTGACTTTGGTGGGTTTCTCTTCGATGGTATGAATTCTTGACCGGAAAACATTGCCACGAGGATCTATTTCCTCAACAACTGTTTTAACAACGGCGGGTTTAGATGCATCTGAAATGGTGCGTGTGAACTGTTAGAATTTATTAAATTCGTAAATGGAAAATCACTTATCCT